CCTTCAACGTCCACGAAAAGGTACTCGAAGAACATCAACACGTACGATATTCCTATCGCTCACCTTCGGCAAGCAAAACAAAACATTTGAACTGTCAAAATACCGGGTTGCCAAACATACAATTATTCACAAACAAAGTCAGTCCAATGACTGGCACTCTCGGCACAGCGCGGCACACTGAGAAAAATGTTGGCGCAAAATAAGTGTGTAGAGTGACCACCCCTTGTGCTAGACCCTAAAAGCTTACGGTTCTGTTGTCAGTAATTTGGCAACCGTTGGTAGTACTGAATGCTGACGATACGGCATTTTTAATGCTAGTTAAATTTATTTTATTATTAATAATTTGAAGAAAAAAACCTCTTGTGATTATTTTATTATCATGTTATTATCGAAACATTGCCAATGCTGATTTGCCACTATTGTGCAATGTAAAATTACTGATGTACAATAGATATGCATTTAAAATGCTTATCTACAGCAAGAAGCGCCGCTAGCACGCCTCTAGTGTTGGGAATCGAAAATCTTTGACAGTGGTTTGTTTACACTTCTATAGAGAACAACTGGTGCAAGTTTGATCAAAGTAGTCGATCGCGTTCAGAAATACCGTCAAATGGAAAATCTGGAGTGGTTCGGTTCCAAGCTGGCTATAGTGCTGAAGATGCCGAAAACAACAGTTTACCGAGTGCTCAAAACCTACAAGGAAACCCTGAGTGCGGGAAGGAATCAGCGGACCTACGAAAAAACTGGAACCAGGGATCGTCAGCTACGCAGCAAGGTGTTGAGGTGCGTTAAAGCCAACCCCGGTCTTTCGATCCGAGATGTGGCCAGAAGGTACAACGGCAACTTTCAAACGATGCGGAACATCCTTTCCAGGGAAGAATACATCCCAAGTTAACATCGAAGAATGCCTGAAAAAGCGTGGGGGGCGACACATCTAAATCTCAATTATAGATGCTCAACAAATCTCAAACTAGCGAACCAATCATCGAACAAATCTTCTTTCATTTCTCGCATCTACTTGCATCGCGCATCATCTTTTTGCAGGAAATTTTCAGAATCATCATTAATCTTCTTTCTATCTATTCAGCGTTGCAAAATGGAAGAAATGCGCTGATTCCGTGTCCGTTTCCACTGTGCGGGCGCTGATGGGCTCCATCAAGAGGAAGGTTCGAGATTTCGTTTGAACTGGAGAAATGTAACCATCTAATGCTGTAGCTTTGAAGTTTTAGTAAAGTACTGTAAAGCAACCATTAATGGACTTTTTAAACTTATTGAATCAACGGATTACAGGTCTTTTTGTGTGTACCAATTTACTTTTAGTCAGCCTTTATAAGGTTGATATGCTACAAATTTCCTCCCTTAGCAAAGTCAGTAAAGGCGCAGCCACAAAGCAAAACCATGCTAGAGGTGGCTGGGTTCGATTCCCGGTCTGGTCTAGGAATGTTTCGGGTTGAATTTATTTTAATTAATATGAATTTAATCAATAACTGTGGAAGAACACCAAGTTGAGAGCATGCAATAAGCTAATATGCCATAAGCAATAAGCTTGAAATGCTAATAATAAGAAGCTCAAATAAACCATCTATTTCAGAAATTTAATTGAATCCAAAAATCTTCTATTTGAGCAACACTAGGAAGCTAAGTAGGCTTTTAAACACACAATGATGAGCTGGAATACTCAATAATACCACTCTAGGCATTTAAACCATTGCTTGTCCAAAAAATGATCATGCTACTAAGAGATGAACTAGCCCCAGGCTAAAAATCTCTATAATAAAGACTAAAAAAAAAAAAAAAAAAAAGATCATGCTACCACCGACAAACCGACATGACACTTAATTCTGACTTATGTCCAAAAATCGTAAACGGTCTATTTCAATGTGCAGTGATCCGAACTGTCAAACCATAGAATTTTTTGATCTAGATAAAAATAATTTGTCCAGAATAGATCAGACACGAACCAATTCATAACTTTTGCATGCGGATTCATGGGTTAGCTAAATATTTCCCGCGAACACGGAGCCAGATGTCAGTAGTGTGCTTTGGTCAGAAATTTTATTGCTTTTGCTGTGGTCATTCATGTCGGTTTGTCGGTGATGCTACTTCAAGCAATCAAGAATTCTCCCATCCAAGCTATGAAAGCTTGACAGATAAAATGAGGAGTTCGTGGATTTTCCTATGTTTCGAGGGGTGAATCGATTAGCTTGGGACCGAAGAGAGTGCCAGAGCTGAGCCTAAAAATTGAGCACGTTTCTTCGGGACCTACTAGCATAGAGACTGGTAGGTCCCGAAGAAACGAGCTCTACTTTTTGGCTCAGCTCTGGTACTATCTTCGGTCCCAAGCTAATCGATTCACCCCTCGAAACATAGGAAATTCCACTATCCCCTCATTTTGTCTGTCAAACTTTCATAGCGAATCGAAACAAACATTGTGTAGTACTAGAATTTTGACTACAATGTGGTACGTTAATCGATTTGCTTGGGACCAATAGGCTAGTCAAGTAGTGAGCCAATTTCAAATCGATAGTTTCGTATTGATTGTTGCTACTAGTCTTAGAGTTACCTCTATGATTGTACCCGAACCAAATGCAACACTTTCTTTCGTGTATAACTTTTTATTGCATGAGTAAAAAATGACAAAATTTTGATTAAAACTAGTTTAGAGTGTAATGTTTACATGTGCAAAATCTCGCCACAATCTGTCAAGTGGTTATCGAGATGGCGATCGTGGAAAATCCAGGCCAGTCCCACAGGTGAATCGCGAAACAGTTTGGAATCAACAATTCGACCGTGTCCCGTGTGGTAAAATCGTTCAAGAAGACCCAGATGACCCAGCGACGGGGTGGCAGCGGAAGAAAAGCGAAGACGACTGACCCCGTGAACGCAAGGAAGGTGCGGGATTACTTCAAGCGCAATCCGAACCTTTCGATTCGGAACGTGGCTAAGGAGGACAAATTCTTCCGTCTGCTTCGTTCAGCAGACAATGAAGCGGGCCGGACTTCATGTCTTCAATGTAAGGAAGGCGCTTAACAGAAACGATTACCAGAATAAGGTGGTCAAATCCCGCGCCAGGAAGCTGTACCGCGAGTTGTTGCATCGTAATGGACGACAAAACGTACATTAAAGCGGACGCCAAGCAGATCCCCGGCCTGGAGTTTTTCGTCGGCATGTTCCGCCTGGATGTTCTGGAGAAGTTTCGGAAGAAGTAGGCCGACAAATTTGCCAAGAAGTACTTAGTGTGGCAGGCGATCTGTGGGTGCGGTAAATTCAGCAAGCCGTACATAACGACCGGCACCATCAACGGCCAAATATATAAAGAAGAATGCCTCCAGAAGCGCCTGCTGTCCTTCCTCCGGTCCCACGAAGGTTACCCTTTGTTTTGGCCGGATCTGGCATCGTACCATTACGCGAAACCGGCGATGGAGCGGTACGAAGCCACCCACTTTAGTATGATGCGCTTGACACAAAGATGGCCCACAGCGACTCACGAATAGCTACTGATTCCGATCAATAACTGTGCGGCTTCTTTCTCCTTCTATGGATGCTCATGTGGGCTTCAGATCACTACTTGCAAGCAGCCTTTCGTTGTGTACTGGAGAACAATGTTCAATGCCACGTGCCGAAAGCACTGCTACTGCTGCTGCTGCTGCTGCTGCTGCTGCTGCTGCTGATGCCGTCGACCGGACACCACCACACACGATGATTGGAACTGAATCCAATCAGCGGTTGAGGTCAGCATTGATAGCTAGCTGCTTGCGGGGAGCGTTTCGTTGTGTTCTGGAGAACACCACCACTCATCACGCGGTGATTGAATTAACACCGTTTGGTGATACCGGATGGAATTCAACTTTGAAATCTGTGTTAGGGAAATCGCTTGTCGCAGGCAATCGGTGATCATTTTAATAATCATAGCAACAATTGCACATTGGTGCAATTTTCTATGCTGACATTTTGAAAAATGATAAAGCTTTAAATTTAACAGATGCGTAAAAATATTTCTGATCGATTGGTGATAAAATTATTGAAATTGGTCCAGGGGCAGCTGAGTTATTAACGTCCAAAATCTTTCATTATTTTGTTGCATGTTCCATTTTCGGTTTTCACAAAGTGTATCCCCATATAGAAATCACAGACGTAGTCCTACGTCAAAAAAAAATACCATACAATTCTAGATACTCAACAAATCTCACACTAGTGAATCAATTCAATCTACGAAAACTCTTTCATACGGAAACTTAATTATAATTATTTAAATCTCGACAGTTAAATTCATCATCAATCTCAATATATCCCACCCTTTTCCTCTTGAAGCACTCGTGTTTATTTACATTTCTCGATTGGATCCGCGTTTGAAGATTCGATTGGAACTTTTAGTTCCGTTTAGCACAATGACAAATATCGAATACGCCATTTTGAAAAAAGGGTCAATATGGTCGAATTCCGGCACAAATAAAATCGATTCGTCAGTTGGCGTGGAAATATGCTCCCTTTTGAAATGTTGGCACTGACACTGAAAACCTCGTTAAAACTTGCAATGTTACTTGCGATTCGACACGACCGGCTTCGCGCCCTAGCTTCAATTTTGGGAGGCACATACTTCTTGGGCTGTCTCCTCCCAAGCACATGCATTTTCCCAACCTGCCTTGGCCCATCGCCCACCACCCGTCGTCGCCATAATGGAGAAACCCCTCCGGATAGTCGGCTATTATTACAAGATCTCCGGAGGCGAACCGCTGCGACTGCGAGAGATGCGCTGCTTCCAGACGCGAGCGTAGGGACTACAGCCAAAATATGCTCACACCCAGCACAGCAACCATCAGACAGAGCACTCGCTCACGTTGATCGTGCACTCGCGTCCTCGTCGTGATCCGCTTGATCAAGGCATGCGCGAGGCGTCGTCGTCGTCGCCATCGTCGTGGTCGGTTTTTATGCTAAGTCTCGTGCACTCGGTGCTTTAGTATTGTGCCGATCTCTCCGGGCGATCGATCGGTGATCGGTGATCTCTCTCGTCGGGTTTTGTTGTGATTTTCAACTCGAATTGTTTACGTTACACGCGTGCGGTACAGCGAATGTCATCCTTGTCGCGATCGTTGTTTACGTCGCTGTTTAAAAACGTGAGTGAAGCCGGTTTGGCGAATCGTGGGTGTGTCGCTATAATTAGCCTATCGGTATATTAGAATTGCGACTTGCGGTGTTTGCATTAGCCGTTTTGTTAGGGAAGAATCACAGCAGGCGACGCGTGAGGGGGGTGCAAGCACGTGCACGCCTCCTACGGTGAGGAGTGGCTTGAAATTAAAGTGAAAATTCACGTGTAGCGTTCAATTTTGAAATCGAGAAAAGTGCACTGGAGGTAAAAATCGGTGTCGAGTTGCTGTTTGCCGTTTCCCTCTCCCCCCCCCATTCCGTGGCTGTGTTTTGGCGGGTTTGTTTACATCGGCCCATCAGTGAAAGTGAAACCGAGAAAAATATGCTGCAGTCTACGACGTTTACGATTGCTTCGGTGGTGGCGGCGTCGTCGTCGTCGTCGTCGTCGCTTGTTCACCATGTGGAAAAGTGATCGCAAGTGATTGGAGGAGATCGTTGTTGTTATTATTGCTTTCAAGAGTTCAAGACAGTGTGAGTTTGGAGGAAGAAAGCTGAATCATACAAAGAAAAAAGGAAAAAGTAAAACGTAGGCCAGCGGAGAAAGGGAAATATTGTTTACCTTCCTTTCGACGGTTGTGTTGTTATAAGTGTTGAGAGAAAAGTGGAAATAGCAGCGGAGTCACACATCATCGTTCATTTCGTAAAAAGTGAAGGAAGAAGAGGTAAATCTCGTGCCGAGTGAAGTAGCGATAGCTGTGCTGTGCGCTCTGTTGTATAATTCGCGATACGGGGAAAAAAATACCATTAAAAAGAGTAATCGAAACACAGCATCCACTCGAAAGGGTGTTTCCTTGGAAATCTGGTTTCTTGTGGGTTTTGTGTTGTTTTGTTATTTCTAGCCGACCGACCATCCGAACGACGGTGGTGATGACGTTTATGGGAGATTGGTGTGAGAGGGTCATTTCTGGGCAGATTTAGTGCTGAATATTTCGAAATTTCCTCGCAGTTTTTCCTATTTCGTGTACTACAATTGCCGCCATCTTTTTTCAAATTTGACAGATAATCTGCCAAATTTCGGATATAAGCACCATTCTTTGGTGCCCGCAACAATATTATTGACATTATTTGACAAATCCGAGCTGTCAAATTAGCGTACTGATCATTCTTGTATGCAATTGGATCCAAACGTAAACAAACCATGTAGGTTTCTTATGTCTTGTTTACGTTTGGAACCAGTTATACGAGCACAAATCTGAAATTTGACAGCACAATGCATTCAAACGCGTGTTTGTACTTTTTACTCCGACATTTCCCGGATTAACGGGGTCCGAATTAGCGAGTGATACGTGATGAGCAGAGGGGATACTGTACTACTGTCATGATTACCTGAGATTTGTTCAATAATGAATATATTGTTGCCCTGTGCACCGAGAAATTGGAGAAACCGGAATTTCACTGGATTTTCAGAAAATGATCATCGCAAGCATCCCGTAGAGTAATAAGCTTCCGACTAGAGTATGTTTGTATATGAAGTCGGTAGAAAGTTGACTGTCTCGAACTGATGACATTTAAAACTAATTACTGAACATTTCTCCACACACAACATCCGCACTGAATGTCGTACTCCATCCCGGCTGGGGAATAGTGCTTCTCATTTTTCCGTTTCTCGAACTGAAACCAGGGCAAAAACGCAGCCAACATAACTGTTGTGTCCGTACGTTCATATAGTTAAGATGATTGCCCCGACCCGTGCTCGCGCCCAGTTCCCAGCGGTGCCAGTTCTTCTCGACAGAACCAATCATAGGTACATGGGCGATGACGACCAGTACCGTTGTTGGGTTGATGTGAATCCGAACAATGTTTATCCTCACCAAGCCGGACGGATTCCCGTGGGATCAATCCAAGGCCAATGATGGGACGTCAATATTGCGTAGGCACTGTCATACGTGACAGTGGGCAAAAGACATCAAAGCAAATTATTTGGGCCCGGGATCAGGGGCGGGATGTGCTGTCAAATCAGCCTACTAATCATCCTTCAATGAGATAATGTAAATGGCTGAAGGAGTGTGACGTCAAACTCCATTTTCCATATCTAGATAGAGCTGGAATTAGGGCGTAACAGCTTTTGTAAACAATGATTTCTCGAAATTCATGACTCTCTCTGGTAAACTGACATCACCATCGAGTGGGGAAAGACTTCCCCTAGCCGATGGATATGTTGGTTTGTGTAGGCTTGCCTGGAGTATCTAGAAATCAACGAGAGAAGCCATTGTTTACAAAAGCTGTTACGTCCTAATTCCAGCTCTATCTAGAATATGTGAATTTGGTTCCAAACATCAACATCGTTGCTTATGGCTTGTTGTCGTTTGGAACCAGTTATGCGAACTACACTGTACCAAACCACCGTCCTCTGTTCGAATGAAACCTCAGACCATTCAAATCGACACATCGAAATCGCCTTTTCGAATGATAGCTGCAACCGGATGACGGTTGTTTTGAAATCAGATGATTTTTCTCTCGAATACAGGATGAACATTGTTATGAAAAGGGCTAGGACTTTCAGTTGGAATGCGTAATGCTCTCTGCAGAATGATAGTCATCTTAAATTGAAATGCAATTGGTATTGGTTCAACCTCTTAACGCAAATCATGTGTAAATAATGTAATGTAATAAAATGTAAATAATTCTATCGAACGTCATTTACTTCTCTAAGTAGACAAACGAGGTGAAAGCATAGCCATCGCTATCAGAGGTTGTACGAACATTGGTAAAACGTGGAAACCGTAAATTGTCTATTTCGTGGTGGACGAAGTTTCCTCTACCAACATTATATTTTTGTGTCCATGATTAATGGCAGTTCATGGCTATTCAATATGGAAATGTAAACAATCGAACTAAAGCATTTGAAAGTCATCCTATCCTAAAATTGTTGTCCGCTGAGCGCTGTATGTTTTACAGCCAATTTTCAAATAAATATCCTTTATTTGGAGGACAGTCATACGGATGCTCATGAGTTTATGACGAATTCGAAAAAGTCGAAGTATTGCGGTTGTTTTCGTTCAGTGTAGGCGACGATTGTTCGTATTTAACAGTCACCTCCCCCTCTTGTCCGGGACATGCTGTCTACTGTCAAACTCTGTTGTTGGTATACACTGTGGCAAAAGAACATAAGAATTCCATAAGAACCACTTATGAATGTGAATGTTAGCCACAAGAAATCATAGTTGAAGATGCTAATTTCAAATAACAGACTACAGTGGTTATTTTTACACGACACATGAGGATATGAAAGTATAGAGTTGATAGTTCCGTTAGAGTACGGCAGTGTGGAAATTGTATTTAGAGAGTAGAAAGCGAGGAATGACAACTTTTTAGGAAGGTACAAATCGGTTTGATCATCTCTCTTTACCAAACTCCCCCGTTGGAGAGGGATGGTGAGGGGTATTACCCTCCGCCGCCACTGGCAAAATGAGACGATCGCCGACTCGCTCATGTACCGACGATGTGGTTGAAACAGTTCTATCGATTTTACCGCACTCAAGTTGTTATCGGAAGGAAGGCATCCAGTCGGAAGGCAACCGATTTGTACCCTCCTAAAAAGTTGTCCTTGCTCACTTTCTACTCTCTATATACAATTTTCACACTGCCGTACTCTAACGAAACTATCAACTCTATACTTTCAACTCCTCATTTATCGTATAAAAATTACCACTTTAGTCTGTTATTTAAAATTAGCATCTTCAACTATGTAAATCGTTGACTTCACGCAGAAGTAATACAAAATACAAGAAATCGGTAAAAAAAAATTAAAAAATAATAAATTAGAGCTGATTGGAACCGAACCATGGACGTTGAGATTGCAGGGCACGTATGTTGACCATTCGTCTTTCAACGCTTGGGAAAATTAAATGGTTTAAGGTATATAAGAGCTGCCTCATATTAGACGAAAATCATTCATAAGACACGCTTATGAAATTCTTAAGTTCATTTGCCTCGGTGTAGAAGCGGTTTCACTCCAGATGACGAATCGAACTGATACGACGTTCTCCGAGTTGCGTGAACCTTTGCATAATGGATCATATAATTCGAGCAGTTCAAAATGGCGTTTCCTACCACTCGAACTTTGCCGTGGAATATTATTTTGATATATTTTTTTCTTCCAGAACCTCGAGAAAATAAGGTCTTATTTATACTAAGCTTGCAAAATCTGGAATTTATCGATTCAGTTTCATAAAATCACTGGTAGCATGTCGTCCCAAAATTGCTCGACAATATGATTAATCGTTTGTTATGGTTAATCATTCACATTTTAGCTGAAATTCGACCTTTTTTATTCTTGCACAAAAATTTAAAATGGTGAGGGCCATATTTTTCAACAAATTCTAATCGAAATGACGTCTGAGGCAGAGATGTATGCGTATCTGAAGTGATTTTTCCAATAGGTCGTATGTAAGAAATGTAAACAAATCGAGGTTCTCAAGCCATCAGACGCTACTCCGAATACACGACGGCCAGAATTTGGTACCTTTTTCCTGTTTTACTGTCTAACCAAAAACATTTTTTGTCTTATGTATCAGTCAAAACATTTCTCGATGTTACTTTAGGAGTGTATCAAAAATAAGTTGTAAACAAATGTTTCTTTCCACATACATTATAAATATTTTAAAATGAAAAATCATCAATTATGTATGTCTTGTTCTTCTTAAGAACAAATAAAAAAAACTATGGGAAGGTCCATTAATTATGTCACTCAAATTTGACCCATTCTCAACCCCCCCTCCCCCACAATGCTACCAATGCTACCGACGCCAGGAAGGCAGCTCCCACACCTGGACCCTACCTATCGACCCATCAACTCATGAACCGGGGACCAACGGCTTTACTTTCCTTCCGAAGAAAGGCGTGATCAGAGATATTATGCCTCAGAACATCCCGGCGGCGCCGACTGGGATTGAGAGGTAATCACGCTTGCCATTACGCCACCGGCGCCGCTACTTAAAGAATATGTTTTGGTTTGTTTTTCTTTGTGTGTCACCTTCGGCACAATCTTGTAGGCATTGAATTGTTGTAAATAGAATGGGAGCACTGCTGGACAACTGTCATTAAAGCTGTCCACAGCATTACGTGCTGATTGACTGTATATTTTATTAAATTTGTTATGGTTATTTTGCCTAACGTCGTGCTTCGGGAATCATCCAAACGATTTGTGGGAAAGTTCTATGATTTGGGTTATCGTTCGTTTAAGGTATTTTTTTATTAGAGTATTCAGGAACATCCTCTAATTAAATGTATATTAGGAACGCAGACCAGCAGTTTACTTATAGATTTAAATTCGAAATGTAGGTTCTAGCGTGGGCTCAAGAGAAAGAGGCAGTTTATCAGACCCCCTTAATTCAAATAATGCAACTCACACAAAACAAACTTCAGAAGTCATATTCATCATCTTCTATATTCGGAATCCAACAATGCACAGTGGTCCAGAATGCAAATTTAGGTGGAATGATATGTTTTGAGCCTGAAATTGAAACTTTAGACTAAAAGTCTCTTCTACAAAGTTGTTCCTTATAGTTAGGCCCTCATTTTTATGACAATGAATTCTAGGGTGGTTCCTATTATCATTAAAATAAAAAATCTAACTTTTTTGTTTAAATAAATTAAGGTATACACTCTTCGGCAAAGTTATAGCTGAGCTAACTTCAAGCAACTTTGTTGAAAATAACTT